CATCCCTCCCTCCGTCCGTCCATCCCTCCCTCCCCCCCCTCCATCCGTCCATCCGCCCATCCATCCCTCCCTCTGTCCGTCCGTGGGGCTCCCCTGAACCATCTCCATCTCTTCTCGGAAGAGAAGAAGAAGAAAAAAAAAAGAGAACATGCCAAGGAAACAAAGATATACCAGGCTCACCTTAGCGTTAAACACGTTGAAAATGGTTAAGTTACCATAAAGTAACGAGCTTCAGGACCTCAGCTGAGCTATAACCTGCTCTGTGTGTATTTTTACTTTGCCGTTGCAGTGTAAAATATATCCCCCTTCCCCTGAAGCGGCTCTGCCCGCCCCCCCCCCCCGCCCCGGTTCGCCACCGGTAGCCCCGACGGCGGCTGGAGACGGACAGGGCGGTCCCCACTGCGCCCCGGGCACATCCCCGGTGTCACACCTCGGCCCCTCGAGGGTCCTTTCCTCCCCGTCCCCTCGGCTGGTCCTCGAATGCCGCCCCCGCTGCTCCGGGGAGGAGGAGGGCTGGAGGGATGCTCGGAGCTTCAAAAGTGAAATTAAAAGCCCCAAACTGATACTGCGTGGGAAAGCGGCACAGGAGGCCCCGCTCGCTCCCCGGTAACCCGCTGTGCGGCGGAAACGAGAGAGCAGCCCCGCGCCCCCGAGCAGCTCCCGGCCCCCACTCAGCACCCTGGAGCCGGGGGGACCCGAGGGTGGGGAAGGGGGAAACCCCAGGGGAATTTGCTCTGCCCAGCCCCACCGTGCTCTGCTCGCAGGCTCCGGAAGCAGAAGTGGCTGCAGGGGGTTACGATTGTGTGAGATCCTGGGGTTTTGGGTCAGCCAGGGCAGAGCAAGGCAGTGGCAAGCCTGGGCTGCCCTGACACTGCAGCAGGGCTACTGATGCCAGGCAGAGCTGGCCCCTGGCTCCCGGGATCGTCCCGGGAAGGGTGGCACGGAGGTACCATCGGTGTCTTTCACTGCTGGGCCTCAGTGCCTGGCTGAAGTTCAGCCTGGCCAAAGGTCCTCGGGGCAGCTGGGATCACGTTCATTCAGCTGGAGGAGTGAGGAGGTGACAGCAGCATGGAGCGGGACACGTCCCTCCTGGGTGGCTCCACACCAAACCCCTGCTGCGGGGACCTCAGGGGCCGAAGAGACACCCCCCTCCCTCCCTGTGTGCTGTGGGGTGGCCGTGCTCCAGCTCCATGGGGCCGAGCAGAGGGTGGGCTCATTTGTTTCCTCCACTCGGCTGAGCATTCGCCGGCGGCTGAGAAAGGCGGAGGAGAGGAATCCCACGGCGGCAGATGCCTGCGGAGAGGAAAACCAGGGCAAGTGTGTTGTGTGTGGTACGGCCCCAGGATGAGGCGAGGGGGGTCCATCCCATCAGGATGGCACAGCCTTCTCCTCAGCAAGGGGGTTGTGAGCAGCACAGCCCCCCCAAAGTGCATGTCCAGGGGTGGGGAAGACAGAGGGAGACACTTTCGAGAAACTCTACCCTAAGTCAGGAAACAAAACCCAGCTCCAAGAGGGCTGGTTTGAGCACGGGACTGCGATAAGGAAGAAGGATGGCACTAAAGGAAACAGCTGGAGCTGCTTTTGGGTCCCTGCAGGATGGCGGGGTGCAGGCAGCACCCTCCCACCCCAGCTGCCTCCTCCTGCCGGGGCCCTTTGTGGCTCGGCGTGACGTTAAGGGAGCTCAGGCTGGAGGGGGGAAAGCAGAAAAGAGCCAACGTCTGTTTGTGTTGAAGCCATCCAGCATTTTTTGCAGACATCAGCCAAGCGGCAGCAGCAATGCCATTGGTGGGAAGACAGAGTTATTTGGGGAATGCTGGACTCCGCACCATGAGAACAGCAGGGGAGGAGGTTGGTTTTAATTTAACAGGCCATGTTTACTCTTCTCCTCTCACCTTTGGACTGTCTGAAATGTGCAACCAAAGCCCCAGCGGGGAGGAAGGGGCCGTGGGTGCTTCCCCCCTCCCCACAGCTGCTCCCAGGCCCCCC